GTAGTGTTCATGAATTTCTTTTCATTATTAACGAATCATCTCTTATATATTTTTTCTGAATGGAGAACATGTGGAGGTGAACAGTAAGATCTTCATCCTATTATGCCAATCATCTTTTGATTGAAATCATAATTTCTTGCACATAAATTTATTTTTCCAAAGAATGGGCTCAAACAAATCCTTAATATCACATTGACCAACTGTTTCAATATCTTATGCTACAGAACCGATATCACAAGTGAAATTAAATTGCAAACTTAGACTGAATTATAGAAACTAAGAAATTAATGGAATTCTCAAACCTAACCATTGACGACAGTTATAGATGGCAGCACATTCAAAAGAGTAGGCAACTTGTTATCTTCTCCATTATGTCTGAGTACAATACAAGTTCTCTATAGTCTGTTTACCAAAGATATCAAACTTTCCATTACTGTTTCTCACGACGACGACATTCTCGATAGCACCAGAAGCTGAAGCACCTCCCACCATGTACTCACTATTAAAAAATGAATTTACATTAGAATTATACATGAATGATTGATATTGAATCAATAGCTAAAACCTTCGATTAAAGTAAGATAACCAAATAATAATAAACCAATAATCATCAATTTACTAATGGTGACAAAAAAAAATAGAACTGATGGAAGAGAAATGAGAACTGTAAAGGAAGCAGAGTAGACATACATGATTGCGTGAGGAATGGAGTGAAGAGGCAATGGAAGAGAGAGAAAATGTTAGAGACGAGAAATGGGTGCATGAATAAGAGAGAAGAAATGGTTGCGTGAATGAGATATTTTTTATAAAATCAACCCGCAATTTGACCATTAAGCCCTCGAGAATTAGTAATGTAGTATTGAAGGGTAAAATGAGAGAGAGAATAATATTATCAATGAACAGTGGACATTTTATCTCACGTGAAACAGTGATATGTGAGAGGAAACTCATGAATGAATAGTAAAAGTATGATCCTCTCTTTTAGGAGAGTAAAGATTTTGCAATGAATATGATGAAATGGTTCATATAGTTGACACAAGGTTTAGTACGTTCTTAATAGTATTATTTAGATTATTATTACATAAGCAAGGATACTGAAATGTTATCTAGCACAAATTTAGGTGACAGTGGATGTCACCTTTAAATATTGAATAATGTCATTTATTATTACTAGTGTAACGATATCAATTTAGGTGACATTATATGTCATTAAATGAAATAAACAATTAAATGAATCAAATAAATTTACATTTAATTGAATATATCACCTAATATCACATAAATTGATGTTAAATAACATTATTCTTAAATGTTGTCACGTACACTACAAATATCCTTGAGTTTATTACTATATTAGAGTCGAGTGAAAACATTAAAATGTGAAGTACAATATAAATAGTCATCACAAGTACTGATATGGTGACATGAATTGAGGTGAGGCGCCGATAACTAATTAAAAGTGTGTGTACATGTACGTGATCATTCAAGCATTGATCTCTCCTCATTCAATTTTTGTGACCTAATTGAATTGATTGGCTTTACCTATTAGCATCATTTGGATCCATGAGGTATCTTTACTCACAATTCAAAACAAGAAGACACATATCTTGTAAAAATATGAAATAAATACAAGAAATAGTATGCAAAATTTATAAAGGTTTATCTCAATGTAAAATTACATTCTTGTTCATCGTTGCAGTAATTCAATATGATAAAAAAAAGTTTACAAGAAAAAAATCGTATACCCTATTTTTCTGTTCTCTCTCTCTCTCTCTCTCTCTCTCTCTCTCTCTCTCTCTTTTATTATGATGATTAAATAAATTCTAATGAAGGTTACCTATATATAAAAATTAAGGCAAAATCGAAAATATAAGAGTGGAGTTCCTAAATGATCTGTATAAGGACTCTGAGTAGCGATAATATTTAGAATCCACAACTTAACAGATTCAACACAATTTCTCGGTTTAACGAAATGGGAGGATTATAAAAATGAAGTTCAGCCACAATTCACTCTCTTAGATCCATACAAAATTGAACAAAAATAAATTAAGCTTTATTTCTTAAAAAATCTTTTTTGTCCCGCCATTCTATGCTATTGGTCGTCAGATGTAAAGCAACTAGATTATCATTAAAGAGTGAATCGAACAAAAACAAATGATGAAATGATAACTGCAAAAGTTGAAATTAATCATCTAAACTACATCCAAGAACAGAGAAAAACGCCACGTTCATGTCTTAAAATTCGTTCTCAATAACCCTTAATGAATATTTATTACAAAAAAATAACCCAAAAAATCTGTTTAAAAAATAAAAAAACTTATGGTATTTCTCAACCGATATTCTTCTTAATCACTGCACTTCCCTGGTTACTTCACACCAAATTTTAAACCCTTCTTGGCTTCCTTAGCAGCTTTTTCATGCTTTTTAATGGCTTCCTGCACCATAATTTTCTGCTGTTTCAGGGGAAAAGCCCCATTTTCAGGACTGTAAATTTTATCATCTAGACCATAATCACCATAATAAGAATTTATCCCATGAATTCCATAACTTTTCGACGATTCCTTCTTCTTGGAAGATTGCCAGAGACAACAATTTGTTCTTGGCGAAGAGGGCAACTCCATGTATCACTAAAGTAATTGTATGTGAGATATATAGAGGAATTTATATATAAATTGTGTAAAGTATTGGATTGTGTAAATTTGAAAGAGTATTGTGTATTTGCTATATGTGCACTCACACTCTCGCCATGCAAATATTTATTGTTTACAACTGTTGTTTTAATTAAATTTTCCCATTGCGTGTTTGGCGCATTTATCTGAAAGTACTAGAAAGTATTAAGAAGGGAAAAAAGTTAAAATCTCGCTAGCCGTTTTAAGAGAAATTTCTCTAGCTCAAGATTTTTATTTATCTGACGTAAGATTTTATTGGTGCAACCCAAATAAAAGTATGAGAGCATTTTTAAGAAACTCTTTAAAAGTGAAATGTTCTCTATTTTAAGAACCTGGTGGCACTAATAATCAAAATTACAACCGTTATGGCCGCATAATTTGACTTCTTTGTGAGAGGGTGGGTCCCATTTTTTAAAAATTAGCAGTCAAAAAAGCAATGTTTTGCTGTTTTTAAGCTTTGCCAGACAGGCACTAAATATTTAATTGTTAAAATTATTTTTCAAGAGACTTTTCAAATTAACATTTTAAATAGAGAGTAGATTTATATCTCTATAATTAAAGAGTAATATTATTAAGCACCATGACGTTAAAACGTCAGTCTGCACTGATATGACATTAAATTAGAAGTAAAATTAAATGACTCACCTAATTCCACATTTCATTATTTATCACACGTTATCACCTAAACTGTTGTTATAGCAACAATAGTATTAAATAACATTATTCATAATTAAATGCATTCAAAATATTTTAACTTTTCAATGCTCCATATATTAGCCCAACTAAATAATATATACAAAGAAAATAGAGGAAAATAATATAATAATTGGGAGGAAAGATGGTAAAAATAAAAAGATATTAAAAAATAATAAATATATATTGGGAGCAGTAAAATTAAGTGCTCGATAAAGAGGTTGTTAGAGTATTTAAAAACTTTTATTCTCTAAATTTATAGATGCTTTTTAAATTACAAAATAAGCTCTTTAAAGATAAAAAAAATCTCTTGGAGATGTTCTAATGTAATGTTATGTTTTATTATTTTGGTTGATAGAGATAATTAATTAAGTTAATTTGTGTAGCTTAAGAGTTTTCTTATGAACCAATTAGGGCTTCATTTGTTATTAGTTCTTTCTCGAATAAAAACTATACAACTTTGGAGTTTTTAATTTTTTTTTGGCACGAATTCGGTATTCTTTGACATCAATGATTTAGTCTTTCAAAATCAATTATTCGCCGTATTTGATTGCGTATCAATAAATTCTTGATTTTCTAAATTCGTGGGTATCCTCAAAATCAACGTATTTTTAATTGCATTTAGTGTTTTGATATCGATGTCAAAGCTTAGTCATGGGCTACGATTCATTAAGCATGATGCCAAAAGTAAATATTAGATGAAAAGATGGAAGAATATTTCGATTTAGATGACAAAATTTATAGTGATCCCTCAATCTACGACGATGACTCACATGTCTAGAATTTCAAATAGTGATTCAAGAAATTTGAGGTTAATCAAAAGTTTTAAGTCGAATCATCCTTGGTCGTTTTATTATTTAAATCAATTGATTCCAAATAAACATATAGCAACAAATTGAAGATTTTTAGCTTTTTCAATGTTTTGGACGCTGTGTCTGATGGAGACCTGGGTGCTAAGGTTATCTCCGAACCAAAACATCAAAATGCACCAATAAAATGGTGGAAAAGGTCTCCAATGTAACACCAAACTTTGCACTAAATGATGCAAAGTCAATTAGATGTAACAATTATTTAACACCAGGTCTCCAATATTTTATAAGAGTATTATTATTTAACACCAGTTTAGTTTATGTAACAATTAGATGTCATTAAATGAAATGTTCATTAAAATTCAAAGTTAAACATCCATTTAATTACACAGTGTTGTCATTTAAAATGGTGCTCTAATATCACTGACGCTAGACATCATTATTGATTATCACTGACCACAAATAATTGTTTAGACCCACTCTAAAGGCACCATTTAGAAGTTTCGGGTTTTTAGATTGTGTTTCTACTTTATTCTCTATATATAGAACGTGACTTGCTCTTCTTATCCCGTTTCATGTGGAAACTAGACGAGAGAGAGAGAGATTGCAATAATCCCATGAAGAAGTTGAAATTTCATTACTGATAGAGTTACAGAAACATTCTGGGAACTGGTAAAGATGAAATTTGACATCTACAACCACGCCCATACTACATCACAAAACAACATAAAAAAATAAAAACAAATTCGATATACGAATTACACCATAGTATAATCTCAGAGCTTAAGATCCAATTATAGAACACGGAAAAAATCGTACAAGAAAAATATCATGATTCATTTTTGACATTAATGATTTCTGCCTTCGCTGATGCTCGAGGAAACTGATTAAGTTCATTCATTATCGACTCACCTCCATCAGAGACGCTTCCAGCATGGGGCAAAATCGCCATTTCCTCGAGTCCAGTAGCAGATGCCAACAGATATTTAACAAATTCCATTTCAGGCTCGACCCCAGAGAAAAGTAGCATATCCACAGTCTTAAGCTGAGCCAAGCAATCGGAGCTATTTTGTGCGCGGAGATATTCCCCCACGGACTCCACAACATCGAAAGTGAAAGCCTAAAATGTAAAGGACATTCATTAAATAGGTTCCACTAGGAAAGAAAGACGAATCGCATAAAAGTTTAAACAAAAGGAACAAGAATAGAATTTCGACTTGCTGTAATTTTAAGCTTTTGTAAATTGGGAGAGCTTCTAATCAAACAAAGAACACAAGCGATCTCCTCAATTTTTTCGAAATACATATCGGAGAGGTGAAGAATTTTCAGAGTTTCCAAAGTGACTGGAAGTTTCTTAGGTAAACCATCCTCAGCAAGTTCCTAGTAGCAAAAATGCAGACGGAAAATTAGAACCAATACATAGTAATTGCAAGAAACAAGTTTTAGGATAGAAAAACTTTACTTGAGGGTTGCAATATCCTTACCTGCAAGGCGAAAGCCTGCATATGCAGTTCCTCGAGAGAAGGCAGACAACTTAGAGACGTGATTAAATTAGACGAGAAGCATTTTCCCGTTCCGAAATCAATGGAAGAGAAAGATATAATAACTTCCGCAAGAAGAGGGCTATATGTGAAAGAGATGGATCTGAATACCCCGTGAAACTCTAGAAACTTCAATGCGGGAGCATCAATTTCAAGGCAATTGAAACTGGTGCAATCAATCATCCTCAATCGTTCAAGTATCGGGCAAGCTGAGATAAAGCTTGCAAATGTTTGGGGCACAAGGTCAACATTCTGAAGATCGAGATTCAAGAGCTTATTAAATCCTTTGAATCCCAGAGGAGGGTATAATACGCATTTATAAAGTTTCAACTTTCTTAGCTGGTTAAAAGTGAATATACGAGAAGGCAATTTATGGTTGTCCCCCCGAGAAATGTGAAGAGTGAAATCCTGGATAGTGTTGTTTGGCATAAGATCAACCCATTGATCAATATCTGGGCAACTTCTGAAAGCAGGGACCTGGAGGGCAAACTTAATCAAGGGTCCTTGATGAAGTTTTAGAATAAGGTACACGAGTTTCTCGAGTTTGTGATGTCCAAGAAACATCTGATCGAACCAAAAATCAAACACGAGTTCCGGACACGTTACCCATTTGTACCTCCATTCTCTCGACAAAATACTAGTCCTTACTGCATCCCGCAATGGCAAACATCCCATGATATTCTCTACAATACTAACCGGAAGATTGCTGATTAAATCAGCCTCAGATGTTCCACTACACATTCTGATGTGCTTACGAAGCAAAACTGCGAATCAAGAATCAAGAAAATCAATTGAATATCATAATCCCACATACTTGATAACAACATTTACATGATTCATCGCATAAATCGCAAGTAATGCTATGGTGAACTTAAAATAATCATCTCATTACATACCAGAATTCAAGTGTCGTGGGAATGCTAATGCACAATAAATAGGTACATATAAAATCTTGAGAATGGGACATCAAACTAATTTCGGGCGAAGACAATCTTTTTCAATAAATATTTCACCAATAATTGGGGCATAATTTAATTATAATACACATAAAGCACATTTAACCATACATCTTTTTACTGAAAAAAAAAAAACAAATACGCCCTTGTTCTTGGTAAATTTAGAGCTGAGTTGCAGTAATCATTTTTAACTGCTTTGTTCAATTATTAAAAGTAATTAAACCATTAACCATCACAACAAGACATATTAGAGTATATAATTGGAATACTCTTAAAAGCAAGTTTTCCCCCTTCTTATTGCCCCAAATTCAGAACAAAAAATATCCCCAAAATTCCATCTCCCAAAATAATCAATATAACTGGAAGATACATTAATCGCATTAACCCATCAAAACATATCATCAATTCCAACAGAAAAAAGCAAATAACATACACAGATCAATCCATACAGCAAAAATGGGTTCATATCCTTACCGATTTCTTGGTTCCTTTTTTCTCAGCTTGTTTTCTGGCCAGACAAGATAAAGAAGTAATGGTTTTGCAGTGGTCGATAAGGTGGGTTAGGCTTTGAATTGCGTAATTTCGTTCATAGATTTGATTATCTACTCTCTTTAACGCCGAGGGTATATAGGCAGATATAGAAGGCACCTTTGAGTTGAAGATTTACGTGCTAACAAAATGTCTGTCTCAAGCAAAAACGAGTGTGGGACCCTTTATAAGTGTGAAAATAAGACAGAGGGCATATCATAATCAACTGTACCTACAACTTGTTTGCTTCCATTATTTTCACAATCAATCGGGTACATCATTCTTTACACCATCTTTTACATTATATCACGTGATAATATACCATTAAGAGCGAGTTCGGTAGAGATTAAAATCAAATTAATATTAAAAAATTAATCGTTATCGTTGACTTTTATTAGACGAGTGAGACACAATAACGACTGTATTTTCAATTTTAATCGAATTTTAAGTTTAACCAAACATGCTCTAAACAATTTTGTTCTCCAATCATTTGTGAACAACAATGGTAATGTGTACAAATGACATTATCCTTACTTTCAAAATACATTTTTTTATGTCTCTCTCTCTCTCTCTCCCTCTCATTTTTGAATATACATTTTTCAATTAAATAATATTACACGCAAATTTAAATTTAAATTTTTTATTTTTCAACCACAGATTCCCTATCAAAATACTATTCTAAAATGCAATTTGAAAAAATGGGGCTCAAACGGGCGCTTAGTTAAGGCATCTCATCTAACAAACAAATTAATCTTATTTTCTAACAATTGAATTTAAGTGACTATAGTTTTCAAAAGATTCAATGATAAATTTATCGTTCGTCGTCAAAAATTCAAAATCAAGACTGTCAAATCGCACTCACAATGAAGGTCAAAATTTCAAATCCGGTCTGTCAAACATTCAAAACAAGATGTTTCAAGATGAGAGTTTAAGAGCCGAACTTCAAAGAAACATAAAAAACTAGACTTTTTTAGATTAAATATAAAAGTACTAATACTTCGATCTTTGGTAATAAATGTTTAAAATTCAAAAACAATTTTGTACACTAAAAGCTATTTCAATTATCACTTGTATAATTTTTTTTTTTTTATCAAAAATAAAAATGATTTTCAGAATGATGTTTGAACTTAAGTAATATTTTTTTTAACATCATTTACCTTGAAAACTAGCTTAAAATACATTCTGAAAGTCTACGTTTGTCAAAACATTGAAATCGGATCAAAAGGGATAAAAGGGGCAACAATCGAACGCCATACACTCGTTTGAACTCCCAGAGAGTTTTGTGAAATCTTTCTCTATAAATTGCTTCTCTTTTTGCCGATGACTGGACAGATCGAGGACATCCGAAAATCTCAACGATCGAATTTTTGACCGTTCTGATTTTTGACTTCTAACGACTACTTTTGTGCGTCCAGACTTGAGGCGGACGTTGAAGTCCGAACCCTCATTCGTTCTCCCATAAAATATCTCGCTTTGTCCTCTATAAATGGCACCTCGTTTGGCAATTGTGGTAAGAGTTTTCAAGTGAATTAAAAGATAGAAATATTTGGGCAAAATTTTTTGAGCTTATCAAGTGCATTCATTTCTTCTCTTTCTTTATATAAAAAATTTTGATTGATTGAATCAAACTTTTTAAATCATCGTCTTAATCAAAGTTTCTCATATCTCTTTTAGCAATTAACTTATTGATATCTCATTCACAAAAGAGAAATATTTTGAGGAAAATCTTTGAACTTACATTGCATCTATTTTTTCTACCTCTCTATATCAAAAAAATTGATTGATTGAATGAAACTTGAAAATTCGTCATATTTATCAAAGTTTCTCATCTCTATCCGGTACTTAATTTAATGCAATTATTCATTGAACAAGATAAATATTTTGAAAAGATTTTTGAACTTACATTGCATTTATTTCTTAATATTCTCATTGAAAAACTTTGATTGATTGAATCAAATTTTTAACTCCTGTTGGATGGCCATTATTTTGGAAAAAAAAAATGGAGTTTTGAATAATAACTTTCGAAGAATGTTTGATTAAAAAGTAGGAAAAATATTTTGATTCATGTAAATATGTTGTTGAAAATGAATATAAGAATTAAAAAGTTTTGAAATAATGGTTGTCAAACATGGGCTTAACTTCACCTAACACTTGAACTATCATTTATTGCTATCTGTTGAAGTGTTAATCCCCCTTAGTACTTAATTCATTTATATCATTTATTAATTGAGAAATTTCATTGTAATATTACATTGACAAGTGATAGCAGATTGATTATTGACAATGAATACAATTCTTTTAGTTAATCCCAAACTTAATTTGATTAGGATAAACTTAAAGACTAATTCTATATCAATTGGGATTCTGCAGATTAATCAAAATTTACATCAGTTTGCCTCCTGCAGAAATCGTCCCAGATGTTACCTAAAAACAAGAAGCCAATTTCATCTATTAGAATTGTTTCAAAGCATTACACGCACCCATATTCATCAAAGCAGAGAAAAGGATTTTGAATGTGAAATAATTCCTTTTCTTTCAAAAAAATTATTTGATCTATCGAGATAAGATATGTATATGTAAGTGGTTTGTTTCAGTATACTTTTATGTATTCAATAATTTATGCATGAATTGCCAATAGACCTTTGGGTTCAACCTAATAAAATGTGAATTTTTTTGAATTCTTTATAATGAAATGTGATATCTTTCGAGAATTCAAAATACTAATGATGGATGTCTCGCTTAGTGATAGATACACTCCGTAAGAGAAAAATGGTATAAAATGTGGATTTTATTATTTTATACAATTGTATATGAAAACTGCACGTATTTTATTGAGTATTTTTAAATACCCACCCTTACAATAATTTACAATTTAGTTCGGGTCGATTGAAACTGTGTCAGAATGGTGATACGGATTGTAAAAAGAATTTGAAAAAAATAAAATTATTATGTTTTCTATCTTCAATTTATTAATTAGTTCCATTTATATTCAAAAACGTTTTTATTTAAATAGTAGTTGAGTATGTTTATTTTGAAAAATAAAATTTTAATGTTTAGTTAAAGTTATGGATATCCCTTATTTTTATTAAATAAATAAATTTTATCGTTTTTGCATTTAATGTGAAGAAAAACGTATTTTTGGTAACCTTTAAAATTTATGAAAAATTGATAAGATTATAATTAAAATAAATAATAAATAAGATTAAACCGAGGACAATAAGCTCCTGTTTATTGTAGTTAAAGTTCATGAAATATGTGGTTGAAAATTTGTTAAAAATTTAAATATGGATTAAGAAAGAATACGAATGCCATTAAAACGAGGACAAGTCCATGTTCTCTTTGTATAATCAATCTTAAAAATCAATTAATTAACTACCTTTCTTGTTGACTTTCGAACCTTAAGAAATTTAGGTAAGAAGGAAGGAACGCCCATACTAAACGTACCTCTCCTCAATATTTTAATAATCAAGTTGGTATGTTTAGCTTATTTTCTAAGCAGTTAGTCCCCCCTCTACAGGGGATTTTTTTTGTCGGCAATGTACAACGTACTAATACTTGATAGAGATTTTATTTTTATTTTTTTAAAAGAAAATTTAAGTAATAGTAGTATAAGTATAATTGTTTCTAGGACAAGTGTACAAGTTGTATTTATAAAGATTTTTGTCGACGAGGCGAGGCGAGGCGAGGCGAGGCGAGGGGCGGGTGCGGGGCGCGGGCCTGCCCCGTTTCCCACCCCCCTTTTTTTCCAAAAAATTTCAGTTAATTAATTATTATTTTTTAGTTAATTAAAAAAAAATTTTATTCTTCACGGAACGAGTTCGAGGTAGTGATGGCAACGGGCCGAACCGAGCCGGCTCGGCTCGTTGCCCTACGAGCCGAGCTCGTGGCTCGTTACAAAACGAGCCGAGCTTCTGCTCGGCTCGTTTGCTCGTGGGCGAGCTCGGCTCGGCCCACGAGCTCGTGATTCACGATCCACGAGCCGAGCCGGCTCGGC